CAGGGAAGGGAAGGGAAGGGAAGGGAAGGGAAGGGAAGGGAAGGGAAGGGAAGGGGATTTTTTTTTAATCAGTATTGACATACTGGTCTCCAAACTGAGCTTTGCAGATGGAAACGTACAGTCTGGTGACCAGTTTGCCAGCTGAAAAGTGATATTTAAGAAAAAAAAGTCCAGTGTAAAAATGTTACTTGTTGGCTGCTGCATTTTGCTGGGTGCAGCACAATGTGGTGCCAGGAAGCAGCCTGGGAGAGGAGGAGGAGAGGGCAGATTCCCTCTGTAGCCTCCCCTGAAGTGAATCAAGCAGGATGGGGTGTGTTCTGGGGCTCAGCTGTGGGTCTGCCTGGCTTCTCCCTGGCATCTCCTGGGTGTATTTTCTGCTGCAGGCTGAGTGGTGCTGACTTTGTGCTCCATCCTGTGCTGTCCTGCACGCAGAGGCTCCTCAGAGCCAAGCTCAGCTCCTCCAAGGGGAGGAGTAATCTGCCTTTAGATGGTTCTGACATGGACAGAACAGCAGCAGCAGTGAGGACAACAAAGCTGGCAGCCTTCCAGTCTCCTGCCAAGTTACCCCTTTCTCCAACTTATCCCTTGACAAAACACATCAACCAGGATGTTCATGATAAACTGTGAACAAATAAACACATCTGCAGCCTGCCAGTACAGCAGGGCACTTTTTTCCTGCATGTCAGAGCTACCTAAGAGAATAAATGACTGGTAAAATAACACTTTCTAGGTAAAATAACACTTAAAAATCATGTTGATAGACATGCATTTAGAAGAAATCATCTTGGGTCCTTATATCTGAAATAAATACTTTATTCTGATGGATAAAATTATTTCCTTTATTGGCTAAGTAGACTTTCTTGATTTGTGGCAGCGATGTGAGGTAGTCAACAATTATTTGAGTGCAGAAAAGGTCTGTTTGGTGCAGGGTGGCTTGTTCTTTAACAGAGAATTTTAATTTTACTTTAATAGGAGTGATTGGAGCAGATGTGAAAGGACATAACCTTCCATGTGAGAACCAGCCGATTACATCCCGAGTCGCTATGATCTGTGGAACATCTTCGTGCCACATGGGGGTAGGTTGTATGTGTCATCCTAATTTGTGCAGAATTTACTAACTTATGTTTTTGAAGGGAAAATTGACCTTTGTCCTTCTCGCCCCATTCTTTTTTCCTTGATTTTTTTTTTTCTGGTAATTCTATCTTTACCTTTGGATATTAATTATAAATTACTGTGCATTTGCTATTAAGCAAGAACTTTAATAGTAGTAGAAATCAATACTGAAAAATGACATGGAAAGTAAAAACCATGATGCCAGAGTGGCTTAAAGAGCAGCCTGAAATCTGAGCCAAAGCCTGAGCCTGAGTTATCTGTGACAAGGCTGTCACTAATGTGTTACAGGAGAGTGTCTTTGGAAAAGGAGTGCCCGTCTTCAGTCACAGCCCTGCTCCCCCACCTCTTCCTTTAATCAATATAAATCCTTCTCCCTCTGAAAATTGCCATGGTGTACAGAATTATGAGACATATCATGACTAAAAAGAAAGAAAACCCCCCCAATAAGCAGTTTTCACTTTGCTAATTTCTCCTCAGTGAATTAATACAAAAGCTTTCTCTAAGATTGCAATTAAAATTTAGTGTCTGCCTTTGAAATTTATACTGTTTTAAAATGTATGAGCCTGAGAGCATTCCATTTAGGTAAGTACTCTTTTCTGCCACATTTTTTATTTAAAACTCATTTTGGTCTTAAATTTAGAATTATTAGAACTTGGATTTTTCCAAAAGGAGCAAATGGCACTGGGAGTGCTAGAGGTGTTGGAGAGGACTGACATACTTCATGGAGAAAGCTCCAGGAGAGAAAAAGAAAGGAGGCTGATAATAAAACATCAGGTTTAACAATAAGTTAAGTTGTCTCTGTAGTAACAGTATGAATCCATGGTGATCTTGAGCATGAATACATGGTGATCTTGTCACACGGATTGTCGTTCAGCAAAGCATTTTAGCATGTGATTGAATTTAAAGACATGAATAATCCCACTATTGTGAAGCAGAGCATTGAGCTTAAATCCTGTAGACCAGCTGGAATATATTTTGGTTCCTTCCTAAACAAAAGTTTCAAGCTTCAAACTCCATCACTCTTGGCTGCTCTGTCTTTGAAAAATCCCACTGGTACCTGTCTGTCCATCACAGGGCAGGTGAGGCACCCTGGGGGAGAAGTCACTCTTCAAGCTTGGCCACTGCTTTCATTATTTCCAGTTTTTTTGATGGAGGTTTCTGCCCTTTCAGTAGAAGCTGTTTGAGTGAACTCTTTCTAACCTGTTTCATTTAGCTGAGTTAGTTTAAATTGCTAAAATGAGTTAATAGAGATGTAGTACTGGACTGCAGTGAGCTGAGGAGCTTGCAGGCAGCTTCCCCCAAAGGTCTAAGGGCAATGTTGGGTAGCTGGCAGTGGGCCAGCTGGCTCTGGCTCATTCTTTAGTACAGCCAGCCCTGGAGGAGGACATGTGTGTGGTTATTTATTAATTTTTTGATATTTGTACATTGGTAAGTTCTAACATACACCCAATTCACAATAATATATTGTTTGGCTTCCCAAGCTGGAGCATGGCACCTCAGTATTAATATGTTTTGTGTGCACTCTCCACAGCCATGAGAGTTGTGGCTCCATTAAATATGCTAATGTAGTAAAAGGGATGTGATAAAATCCATGTTGATTGTTCTGTCATCAAAGCAACCCCAGAGTCAAACACAGACTGCATGAGGCAGAACCTTTTAAGGCTTTAACTCACTTCAGTTCAAACTCAGGAATAGGTGCTTGTGCAGTTTTTGCTACATTTAAGTAGATTTTTACTTAAATCTACCTACTCAGCATTTTATAATCATTTCCTTAACTGCCTGCCTTCAGTCATCTGCACAGGGAGGGGTATAACAATCTCTAGCCAGCAGACAATAAGTAAATTCTAAACTTCTCTGGATCTAATCTGTGAAAGGATTTTAGTTTTCTGTTCTTTTATCTATTACCTGCACAGGCTGCATGAAGTGAACATGGAGCACACAGAGCAGTTGTATTTGTGCTTTAATGAGACCTATATGCAGCTGCATTTGGCCAAAATTAGCTGTTCCTTTTTTTAATTAGGGCTATAAAATGAAAGTATATTATACTTGTGTTTTGATAGAAATATATATTTTCTCTCTCTGTGTGCACCAAGGGACCCTGAGGGCTACAGAGATTAATCATCGAGTTTAATTTAATGCAGTGGGAGAGAGACCTGTGTGGTCAGGCGGGCATTAAAAAGTGCCTTTGATGTGCCTCAGGTGCACTGAGCCCCAGTGAGCCAGCAACAATAATACCTTTGTGAGATGATCAGAGAGGAGAGAGGGAGAAAATGGCCTGTGTGGAAACTCAAGGCTGTCCTTTGTTGTGGTTCTGGCAAACGAAGGAGCCAACTGTCAGGAGAAATTCAGCAAACAGAAAGCAGGGGGAAAGTAAGGCTGGGTTTCTTTCAAGGGGCCATAACAGGAAACTGTTCAAAATCATCTGCAATGCCTTTCTTTTCCACCCCTTCCTTCTCCTCTGGTCAGGGCAGGGGGACTGCTCTTGGTATCTGTGTGTTGGTACAGTAGTTCCATTCTATAGACCAAGTACTCCATGAGTCACAGGAGCAGGTAATGCTTGAACACAGCATTTGCTTTAAACTTTCCGAGAAACTGCTCCTCGACCCAGTTTTCATTACCTCCAGGACTCAAGAGATCTTAGACAAAAGACTTGGCTAATCATGCCTTTGATATTTTAGAAAGTACAAATGTGGAACCTAATTTTACTCATGGCTATAATAGTTTAATTTGTGGTAGAACTACCATTTTAAAGTGAGGATGCACTTTTGGAATTAACCACTGACAGTTTGGGGTAATCAGACACACACAAAGAATTTTGTGTTCCTGTTGAATAGCTCATGACAGCAGCAAAATGCATGTTGTAATGAGGTTATTGACCCCAGCCCAGGTCTGAGCTGTTGGTTGCTGAAAGTCACTGCCACCTCAGGGCTCATCCATTATCCATGAGGAAAAAGAAAAGAAAAGATGGTTTTCTGAATATTTTTGGACAGTTATGCATTTTACATGATTCTCTGTTGCCTCCTTTGCCCTAGCAAAAGACATGGGTAGAATTTGCATTTGGAATGGCAAATAAGCTGCTCTTTCACTTGTGAAGGATTGTCTCTTGTTTTGGGGGTGGGATTCATCCCTGCAGGTTTGGTCTCTGTGCCCAAGACTATTCCCTGACTTTCCTGGGTGGGCTGCCACTGCCATCGTGCTTTGCAGGCAGGGGCTCTGAGCTCCAGCACCCACACTTGGCTTTGGAACTTTCAGGAGCCTTTCCCTGTGTAGCCATGGTGACTACACAAAATGTGTGAGTAGTTTTTCCCAGCAAAATCACAGCAGGTTTGAGGCCCTGAAACAGGAACTTGCCTGTTATTCCTAACTTGTAGTTTGCATGGGTCTAACAGACATGCCCTAATTTCTGGGAATAAGGTAGTTGCTTTCCCTAAAAGCCTGTCTTCCTGCCAGTGTCTTAGGGTTTTATGGGGTATTTTAAAGGTTTCAAAAATCCTTTTTCTTCTGAAACCTCTTATGTGATCAGGAGGTTTTCAGGCACAGATTTCTGTATTCCCATGTCCCAGTCCTGGACACAAGTGTGCTTTTGCAGGGCAACGTTGTGCCACTGTGAAAATATTTGTTGTTCTTGCCCCAACACCTTTTGTGATTTCCAGCTGAAGAAAGTAGGCAGGGCAGCTTCTAATGGGAACGTGGTCTGGCCTAATTTTAGCTTATTAATGGGGAAAGTCTGAATCTGCTGGTATTTTGAGTCCCAAATTAACAAGGTTTGTGTTCTGTTCTCTCCAGAGTCTCTGATTTTTTTCATTTTTTTTTTCTGTCTTCATTTGGTGGTGTGGACTGTGTTCTTCAGTCATTGGTTCTTTACCAATTCTCTGTACTCAACACCTCTTTTTGGGGCTTGTCAAGGAATCTCTTCAAGTGTAGGTGCAATTTCTTCTTTTGCATCTGTTTTTGTTACTTCTGTGACTTGGTATTGGGAATGGACTCACCTGGCTTGGTGCACAATTCTTTTTTCCCTAGGTGATAATGTGCATGTGGTTTGAACTGTATAATTTAGTCATTTTTTTACAATTGGAGAATCAGAAGTAATTTATCTTCTACCTTTTCAGATTTAATGCATGATCTAAAAGACAGAGCAACTACGTGAACAGCAAAATGAGCAGATGGTTTTTCTGTCCCAAAGTTTACTACAGATTATTTCAGAAAGAATATCCCATACTTTCTCTCACTAAGCCTGACTAGCCTTTGAGCGTTTTCTGCTAAAGGAACTCAAGCCCAATTTGCTTATTCTAAATTTGTTCATTTGATTCTCGTGATGACTGGCAAACACAATAGAGCTTCTTTGCTCCACAATATCCTCCCGAGCTGCCAGCTTTGTTCACACAAATAGAGTGTTAAGCACGTTTCCACCCCCAGAGCATGCACAGTACGTGTCCTTTGCAGTACATCCTGGAGAGGAGACAGCAGAGACATGCTGGCTCAAAGTGTTCTCGGAGCCTGATCTCTAATCTCAGTGGGAGCCAGACCAGCAAGTGGATTCAGTATATTTTGGCTCTGATACCAGAGTCTCCTCTTTAGAACATGCCACGTTGTTAAAGCAGCAGCCTTTGGAGTAATCGCTGGGCCAGGGACTCCTCAGCTCCGTGCGCTGAGGGGAAAGCAGGGCTGAGCAGGCGGTGCCCGCTCTGGAGCTCGGTGCGATCCAGCGGGATCGGAGCTCGGTGAGATCCAGAGGGATCGGAGCTCGGTGAGATCCAGCGGGATCGGAGCTCGGTGCGATCCAGCGGGATCGGAGCTCGGTGCGATCCAGAGGGATCGGAGCTCGGTGAGATCCAGCGGGATCGGAGCTCGGTGAGATCCAGCGGGATCGGAGCTCGGTGCGATCCAGAGGGATCGGAGCTCGGTGAGATCCAGAGGGATCGGAGCTCGGTGAGATCCAGCGGGATGGCAGCGCGGGCTGTGC